AGCTAATGCCGCCTGCACTCACAGGACCTTCTTCAAGCAAGGACAAGACTGCTGTGGTTCTCTCCCTTCCCTTCCACAGTAGCATACACTTTTCATTAAATCCAATTATTATTATTTTTAAATGACTGCTGACTTGCCTGTGAGCCCATTACTACTACACAGACATTGCTTTTCTTTACTGTGTTTCATAGCCGTATTTTTCTGCATCACATTATTTCTGAACCCAAAAGCAATACCTCAATGTTACTACTTGAAATAGAGCAAAACATGGTGCCTCAGCTGTTCACAGAGTATGATGAGAAAGAGAGGAAAGAAGGCAGAGGGATTTCACTTGGAAAGCCACAGAAACACTGCTAAAAACTCAGCCTCTTATATGCAAGTCATCTCCCTGGAGCAGTATCACTTGTCACACTGTCACTAACAGCCCAGATAACTGTATCCGGTGGCCACAGTGGGTCCCTACAGAGGGGACCCCTGGGCATCCCACAGTCACCCTATGGGACCAATAGCCTCTCTGCAACACCCCCATCCCCATGCTCTGGCTAGAAACAAAGGTCTCGAAAATAGGGGAGACCCAAGGCCAGGGTTGTGGCTGGTGGGCGGCTTCCTGGAGTCCCAGGCAGCGTGCTTACACTCCTGGGATCAGTTGGAAGGAAAAGAAGACGGAGTGCCTTTTTTCCCCATTGATGTGGGATCTCCTGGGATGAGAAAGCTACATTGCATGTGGAAATCAGTGTCCTCTCACTCTCCTCGTCCTTCCACAGGCCAAATGGGGAAGAGCTGAGACACGGAGTCTCATGGGTATTAAAAAAATAAATAAAATAAAGACTAGATTCAAACGACAAAGTAACATCCTTAGACTCTTCATCTCCTTCCTCTCTTCCACTCCCACATATTAGTCCTCTATTAGGTTTTCCAATAAAATCAGATATTTTTTGTCCCCTGCAGCCCAGATCTCCAGACATAACGTTCAGCGTTTCTGATGATCTCATAGCAGTCTCCAGAGCAAACGATAATTGCCACAGAATTCACCAATTTTTGCTAGAATCATTCCTTTGCCATTCAGCATCCAGAGAATCAAATCATGGCTCTGAAGCAGCACAAGGACCACAGAGATGCACCCCCCCACCCCACCCCATCCCCCGCCTCTGTATTCCAGGGATGCAGCTCCATTGCTAAAAGGGCAAGACCCTCTTTCTCTCTCCATCCCCGTTTATAGCATCCCATCCTTCCTGGTCCTGCCTAGCCGCAAGCAGGGATTACAAAGCTCTTTTTAATATTTTAATGATACAGAACCGCGTTAGGGACCTGCCACCTTTGAACTTTGCATGAACGCTGGTATGAGTCCAGGAGGCTTCATACCAGGAGGTATGAATCCAGGCTAAATGTGCCTGTCCCTCCTGACTGTCAGTCCATGAGAAAATCAGATCTTCAGAAAAAGTAAAGAACTTACAACAAATCTCTGCTCAACATATCTCAGCTTCCAAAGACTTTATTTTCTGAGACAATAGAGCAATATATTGATATGCTTTAGACTGTATCAATTTAGTTACCATTTTCACTAATTAGTAAAATAAATTTTATGTGCCCCAAGATGGCATTATTCAATCAACGTCAAATAAGGCTGTCAGAGAAAGCCTTCCAGCTCATTGACACATTAATTACACCTTTTCAGACTGCAACAATTTGAATCATTTTTTTTTCAAAATTGAAAGTTTTTTCAAAATTGAAATTTCTGAGAGTCTTGTTTGTCTAATATTCACTAGAATAGTAGGAATCTTGGGTCAGATCTGTAGTGTTTCTAACTCTCTTCAGACACAGGCAATAAAGGACTGAATAAAGGAAGAAATACTGATCACAGGGAAATGATTAGGAAGCTACACTGGGGAATAAGGCAACTCTCTAAGTATGTTAGAGTTTAAATAGGCATACTGGATGAACCAGTTTTTTGGATCATTGGCCAAGACAAGAAATTACATCTGGCTTGACCCAAAGTATATTTGTATTTTTTTCCACTGAAATTAACATTTAAAAGAATGATTTCTCCTGGACAAAGCAATTGCTTTGATATTGAGCATGTTGACATTTTTGTGGTTTACTTGGACTTTTATAAGCCAACAGGAAGTGGAATTCAGTGTTTCTGTCCCACAGGAGGAGGTTGGTGGTGTGCCGCCATCAGCTCCGGCCAGATCTGCCCTGCAGTGGCACATGGGCCCTGCCACGCTTCCCCACGGATGGCACACGCATTTCTCCCCACAATTTCACTCAATAAACAGAGCTAATTTTCATTTGCTTTTCCAGGTGAACTTGGTGTTTTCATCAGTTCAAGGATACTGCTTTTTAAGGGTGGGAAAGGATTTTACACTAAGCGTTTGCTAATGACATGGGAGGGAGTTGAGCTGGGCAAGGGGCTTCACCCAGGAGGGGCAACTTTATATTCAAGAACATAAAGCAGAAGAAAATGGAACACTGGAAAAAAATATTCAGTCGATACTATGGCAAGCCCAGTCCCTTGGGTCAAATAAGCATGGGTTACAATACACTCTGCATAGCACAGGGAATAGTTAGGCATTAGCAAAAAGATGGGATACAGTATGTAGATGTTTGACATTTCACATCTTTGTGATGCTGTGGAACCCTTCTCTGGAACAGTTTAATAAGCCAGAATTAATATTGCACTTTGCCACAAAAATGCAAGAGCATTTTCCTTGCTAAAGTTGTCTGGAAGAGAAATGTTCCCTCTGAACAAATCACAGGAGATAGCAAAAGTGGAAACTTTAGCCACAACACTGTCAAAGTATAAAAGTTAAATAACTTTTTTAGGTTTTTTGCCATGTGTCAAAGATGTATGAGGCTGATCCTCAAAATAGCTTGCCTGTACACTTTGTAACACATGCTGGAATTTCCCTTCTCCTCCTCCACACTCATTTCACCTCTAAATTCAAACACTGATGAGCACAATCTGTACAAGACTGCGATATTATAGTAATACTTTGGATAATGCTATTGTGTAGTTAAAAATATGTATGTTCAAAAAAATATTTAAATTAATGTGGTAGATTTGCAAATCACCTTGTGATGTATGTTGCCCTCTTTGTGTTATAGCATTTATAGGGTTTTTTTGACAAATATTTTTCCCAATGGGTACAACAGGGTAAAGTCATGCTGTTGACAGCATCACTCATTTGCGTAATTACTTCAAGGAACCTTTTAAAAAACGTACATCCCATTACTCAGACATTAGTTTCTTCAATCCCCTCGGGAACCAAAGCCAGAGACCTGCAAACGACACACGTGCCAGAGAACGAGAACATCTCTTTGACTATAAGCACATAGCAGTCCCTCTCACTTACAGCTTTTCACTTTAATGTTATTGGTCTTTATAACCATTTGTATTTTATTAGGGAATCCTAAATTTCTCAGAAACTAGAACAAGTAATACAGTGTTAGCCAGGATGTATTGTACAGTTGCAAACACTATCTATTAACTCTGAAGTAATTGTCCTCCACTGTCTTTGCCTGAGGTCTTACCCTATTCGTTCTTACAGTCATGAGCTTTTGGGTTTTCCTTTGTCCAGACACCTTTTTACCTGATTGTTACTTAATAAATTGTTCCAGGGTCATCTGCCGTTAGCAGTCCCTTTCTCAAAAAAATGTCTTTTCCCCCTAACTGGTGCCTTGCATAACAGTTGCTGTGTCTTTAATCATGCAAGTTATTATTAAAGTAGACTTGAGGTTTAGTTGCTTTGACAGGCCTGTCTACATCTATAAATGACTATCGGGTTTTGAAAGACATCGTTCATATGTATCTTCCCTTAAATGTCACTGCCATCTGCACTTTGGTTGTCCACATGGAATTTATTTTTTTTCTTTTCCTCCTTATAAATGTCACTGCCTCTTCTGATGAAGTCGTTCTTGCTCACCACCAGTGTGGCAGCAGAGCTGGCCATGCCACTCTGCTCCCAGCTTCAGTCCTGCCCTGTCACGGGAAAGGCCACCGAGCCCCCAGCAGCATCGTTAGCCCAGCCAGAAGGGGCAAGCTTCTGGGATGCAGCTACTGATATCCACCACTAAACTCAGGTTGCAGTCACAGCCCATCCTTCAAGCCACACTGTGTATTTAAGAGATAAGGGCTAAGTAATCAAAGTATTTCCAGAGTCTTAGTCTCTCTCTGCTTGGAGGATTTGCAGTAAAGCTACCGCTTATTGCCGATATTGGTTGACTGTTTTGATACTGATACCCACTTAAGATCAGCTGCTGCATTCACATAAGCTGTCACAAGGCACCAGGAAGAAATGTCAGTCTCCATCAACCTGGGCTGGCTGGTAACCAGTAAACTAAATGTAGAAAATTGCGCGTCCTGACTACTCAGCCAGCGTGCTGCCCAGGTCCTCAAAATAGCATCTAAATGTGATGGATGTTTAAAAATATACCATTTCACTTGGGTGTTTGACTGGGCAAGGGGACTGTGCCAATTAATTTAAGCACTTCTTAAAAAAAACCCATGCAACTTTTGAATAGAAATTGAGAAGGAGAAAAGGGGAAAAGCCGGTCAGAGTCAGACCCCCGGGGCTCGCAGCCCTGCCGCACACTTTGCTGCTCTGAGGCCAGCAGTCAGGTCTGAAGTCTTTTCTACATTTTGCATTGATGTAAACACCAAAGCTACAATTTGCTGTACCATTTCTCCACGCTCCTTCTTTCTTGAAAGTAGCTGCTAAAATACAGGGTATTACCTGAAAGCTATGCTCACTATGAAAAAAAAAATCATTCTTTTGCCTGAATCCAGAGGAGAAAAATCCATCAGTTTAGCAAGATACGTGGCCACCTTTATTCAATTGCTGTGGCTATCAGAAAATGATGCCTAGGTCTACATGCCTGATAAAAGGTGGGAACTTCAACTTCCTTTCAAAGGTAGTGGGATGTTCAGGAGAGTGTGGGGTAACCAAGGAACGCCAGATCACAAGACAAATGTCCTGAGGAGGCAAATCAAAGCACCAGCCTTGACTTCCTTGGTTTAATAGAAGGTTTGATTGGTATATACAGATCAGAGGTGAATTTACAGTGTCTTTGCAGGCTAACTGCCTGACATAGATGGCTTCATGGATTCACTGCTATCATTTTTCACCTTCTGAAAGAAAAAATATTTTTAGCTATGTTGTTGGAGTAAGGTTTCCAAAAGTATGCAGTCATTGACTCAGCATCCCATTGGCT